GTAATATTGCTAGTGTGTCAAAATTCTGCAAAGAACAAGCAGGCTACACAGTAGCCACATCTGATCAAGGAGAAGAAAGGAGATACCCCCAGGCCAATTTTCTATAGACAGTGTATTCAACTTATTTGATCCTCATTTTACCTTTGTGTCAAATAGTATTCTAAAACCTACTCAGCAGTGTTATTGTAAAACTTAGGAATGATCATGTGAAGTACCTAGCTCAGTCCTGGACACATAGTAGGCATTGAATAAATAGTAGCTATTATGATTCTTATCTATTATAAACAACACTCCTAGACCTTACTGTTGGTAATTTATGTGTCTCGATCTCTTTGATTCTCCTTTCTATGAACCTGGCTCTCTTTAGTTCTTTCTCAACAATTTGCATTGCTCACTTTTTTACCTCCACTGCCTCTAACCGTGCTTAACAAATCATTAGAGTTTGCCTGTGTTCCTCATTTTCCTTCCATTTTTTTTTTTTTTTTTTGAGTTGGGGCCTCACTGTATTGCCCAGGCTGCCTTGCAGTAGCGTGATCATGGCTCACCACAGCTTGGGCCTCCTGGGCTCAGGTGATCCTTCAGCTTCAGCCTCCTGAGGGACTGCAAACACATATCACCATGCCTAGCTGATTTTTGTTGTAGAGATGTGGTCCCATTATGTTGCCCAGGCTGGTCTTGAACTCCTGGGCTCAAGTAGTCCTCTTGCCAAAGCCTTAAGTGCTGGATTACAGATGTGAGCCACTGCAATCAAAGCCTTCCTTTTTTTTTTTCTCCCAGATCTTCACTAAGAGCCAGCATTGTGATTATGCAGTTTCTTTGTTGGATGCTTGGATGCAGAATCCTTGAATTTCTCTGCATTTCTGATTTACTTATAGCCCGTTTTACCTATTAATGGATTAGAAATAAAAACATTTAAACTTTATATATTCAGGTGGAGACATATTTTATGTTAACCTCATTATATTCCCAATATCACTACCTTAATTCAGTCCCTGATTATTTTAAACTTGGACTGAGGCATCCGTCTCCTAACTGGATTCTTGCCCATGGAATAATATTTCTGAAACATAAATCTGATTATGTTGCTCCTTATTCTCTGAGCTTTTTGAGGGCAGAGCCTGTTCCTTACTCACTTTTACCCCCTATTACCTAACATAGTGTATGACTTCAATTAAGAGTCACTTGGTGAATATTTGAATGGATTCTAATTTGTTTTTTGTTTTTACTAGTTGTAGTCTTTTAAGTAACTTAAAAGTATAACCAATAAATAGAGATGCTTACTATATATTTATATACACACACGCGCACACATACAAAGAGACAATGTATAGTTACTGCAAATTTCTTTTGAGATTTGTTTCTGGTAAATAACTATTTTCGGCAGTTTGTTCATAGGGTTCTCAGACATATAACATTAATTCCGCTCAGTGCAGGATTTATTAAGGGGGGAAAAACCCCCTAGAAGCAGAGTATACATGATCTCTAAAGCTTTCAGTATTCCACAGAGAGGTGTGCTTAAGCCAAAGTTGGTGGGCTACATGTGCAGAGACAAGCTGTCCAATGGAAAGAATTCTGACCCAATAATACAGGTCAGGAGTTAGAGGTAACATCTACACAGTGATATAACATCAAAAGCTCCTTGGCTGACTTTATTAGAAAAGAGAGACCTCAGGAGCTTAGGAGCAGGAATCACTGTGCTTTTCTTTTGTTAAGTCAGACTGGATGAGTCTGCTGTCTACTATATTACAAAAGTAGGGAAGAAATTAGTTGCTACTGCCATTTCCTCAAACGGTAAATAAATTAAGAAAATAATTCCAGTAATGCCACCATGGAAACAATGATTAAAAAAAATTTTTTTTGAAACAAAGTTCTTGCTATTTTGCCCAGGCTGGTCTTGAACTTCTGGGCTCAAGGGATCTTCTGATTTCAGCCTCTCGAATAGCTGGGACTATAGGGGTATGCCATTGTGCCCAGCAACAATTTTTGTTTTTTGTGTTCCCTTCCAGTTTTTATACACAGTGTACATATTAAAGCATGTTGTAAAGTCCTGGTATAACAAGCATTCAAGACATGGCAACTGTCATTATTACTGCTGTCTAAGGGAGAATTATGCTTCTTTTTCTGTCTAGAGCTTTCTACCTTGTTTTTTCAGAATTGCTGGGTAATAAGCTTCAGTCTTTGATCCTGCCTTCCTTTCCCCTCCACAAAGAGTGAGTTACTTTCCTAGTTGCTGAAATTGAGAGAACTGAGAATGTGAGCCTTAGTCCCCTGGGTTCCTGGTAGTCTCCATCAGTAGACAGGTGCATTCTGCTTCTGTTCTACTCTGCTCTTGGCTCCTTGAGGTTAGCCATATGTGTGCCTTTTCTTTTCTTATCTTCTTTTTGTCTTCTCTTTCTTTCATATTAAATCTTTAAAACTATTACCACTGCTGCAGAAATAACCAGAACTCAAAAAAAAAAAAAAAAGAGTAAATACATTTCTTGCCAGTAGAAAAATCATAGAAATGGCAGAATATGGTCTCTAGTATAGTTCTGCCTCCCAAACTTCTAGGTAGTGTGTGCATAAAATATAAAGAAAACTAGGTCCTGTGTGTAACACTGACTCTAAAGGGAGTCTGGGAAAGGTAGTCCTTAACTTTTCATCTTCTAGCATCAGTAAGACAGTCTGGTAAGGGGATCAGAATGGTGCTGAGTCAGCTAAGCCACAGTGTCTGCCGCAGCCGGAAACCCAGGAGAGTTGTTTGGGTGCCAATAAAAACCCTGTTTTTATTGGCACCCAAACAACTATTTTTTTGGATGGTTACTCTATTAGTATACAAGCAAGCATACATGATTTTTCCTTTATTAATGTGTGATTATTTTCTATGCTGCTGTTTTTATAATTAAATCAGTGTCCTAATGTCCAAAATCCATACAAAGCTAATGTTTTGCATAATAAAAAGCAGTTTAGAGCACTCATGAACAACTCTAACCCAACAGCCAACTGGGTAAGTTGTAAGCATTGCTTAATATAGCTTAAATACATTTCCCTTTAGAAGTAAGAATAAAATATACATTTCCTTAAGTATCTTAATGTGATGTATTTGTTTTCTGTTGCTGTGATCTCACATTGCCATGAACTTAGCAGCTTTAAAGCAATGCAGCTATTTTACAGTTCCCAAAGGACAGAAATCTGACAGGTTTGACTTGGTTTCTGCTTAGAGTCTCACAAGGCCAAAGTCAAGTTGCAAAAAAACCTGTGGTTATTTTGTTTGTTTTTGTTTTTTTGTGTTGAATCTGAAGGAGACCCTGTTTCTATGTTCATTTATAGTGTTGCCAGAGTTTAATTCCTTGTAGTTCTAGGACTGAGGTTTACATTACCTTGCTAGCTGCCACCTGAGGAATGTTGTCAGTGTCTGGAAGCTGCCTGCATTCCTTGGCTTGTGGTTCTCCTCTTTTATCTTTAAAGCTAACAAGTAAGAATTGAGTTTCCTCATACTTCAAATCTCTCCTGCCTCTTTCCTATGGACTCTGTCTGACACTCCCTCTCTCTGACATTAGCTGAGAAATGTTCTCCGCTTTAAGGGCTTTTATGATTAAGTTGTCCCCCTCAGATAATTCAGGATTATCTCTTCACCTTAGAGTCCATGTCCCAAATCATATCTGCAAATATAATATATTCACAGGTTCTAGAGATTAAGACCTGGACATCTTTGGGAACCCATAATTCTACTTACCATATTTGGCAACTGTTAAGTTGTTCTAAAAGAGTGGGTTTGTCCAAGTATTTGTTATGTGATGATGCCCTGATAATTATTGACTGATCACATGACTTATTTTATTATTACTTAATTAGCATCTTAATGTATAAAGTGATATAGAACTAAATAGTCAAACTAAACTATCAAGTAAGTTATACTTCTGTTAGTCACAAGAAGGTGTTGGTATTGAAAGACTAAGCCATAATTTTTCTTTTATTTAACTGGGATGCCTAAGAAAAGATAAATAGAAATTGACAGAAGAAATTTATTTGCATATAACAAGTAATATTTTTTTCTTACCAAATGAAGATATGTCTTTGTCCTTTCTGTTTTAAAAGACTATTAATGTATATGACCAGGCATGGTGGCTTTGGGAGGGTGAAGCAAGAGGATCCCTTGAGCCCAGGAGTTTGAGACCAGCCTGGGAAATATAATGAGATCTCACCTCTACAAAAAATTAGCTGGGCGTGTTGGCTTGTGCCTGTTGTCTTAGCTGCTTGGGAGGCTGAGGAAGAAGGATCACCTGAGCCCAGGAGTTTGAGGCTGCAGTGAGCCATGATCATGCCACTGCACTCCAGCCTGGGTGACAGAGTGAGACCTTGACTCTAAAAAGAAACAAACAAAGTAAATAAATTCGTTAAAAATAAAAAGATAAATAGACAAAGAAACAAAGGACTGTTAATGTATTGGCATTTTCTCCTCGTGGAATCTCTCAGGTTAGTAAATGGAGAGTTCAAGTTTTAACTGATTGCTTTTAGATTGGCAGGAGGTTCCTCATGATAAACCTTTTAAATACTTTTAATTATCTGCTTGTTTGGAAGGAAAGCGATGCCTCTTAACATTTAAAGGTGGAGTGTCTGAATCTTCTAATTTTGTCTGGGGGATGGTAGCATTAGCCAAATGAATAATTGATTTCTTAATTAATCTAAATAATAAATACTTTAAAATGTGTTGTCAAAGAAACAAACTTGAGTATCTCATTGTTGGAATATTAGGCTGATAAAAATTAAAAAGTTGTTTGCGTTGTATTTCTGAAAGGAATTATTTAACTAATGCAGTAGGTTGTTGTTTTTGCTAATGATTCAGAGAGGAATAATATGCTAATGGTGCTTTTTAAATACTTACTACTAGAAAACATGGTTTTTAAATTTATGTTTATGTCTAATGTCTGATTGTTTTAAGCAGTCACCTTATGCTCTTCTCTGTTCTTATGACAATTCACATTTTTCCCCTTGCTATTTTTTGTTTTTTTTTTACAAAGGATGAAGTAGGTGTTCCAGGTAGCAATTCAGGTGACCTATTACGCTGGACCACTGCTACCACTATGAAAGTTCTTTCCAACACCACGACTACCACCAAGGCCGTGCTACAGGCTGTCAGTGATGGGCAGTGGTGGAAGAAGTCTTTAGCTTACCTCCGCCCCCTACAAGTAAGCCATGTGTCTTTCTTTTTGAAATTAACTATGTGTTTTATATCAGTTCATAAGCAATGCTTCTCATTTGTTTTTGCTGTTACATCTTTATCTTCTCTAGATTATTAAAATAATCTTTTAAGAAATGTAGGTCTCCCATCAGATAAAAAATGAGGAATCTATTTTATAGAATGTAATACGCTTCCATGATATACTTGCACAGGACTCTGATGACGATTTAGGTAAGGTTTGGTTTAAAAATCAAAATTAAACTTCAGTGAGATGAAAAGGAAAGTGATTTTATCAGTGCTTACTTCCTTTTGCTGTATTTCTGCAGGCCAATCATTGAGGAAGGGTGCTAGGAGCCTGTCTGGGGGTCTCTGAGGAAAGAACAGTCTAACAGATTCTTGCTTCCATTCTGGAAGTAGAAATTTAGGCAGTGGAACACTTGAGTTTGCTTTCCAGGAGTCTTAACCCACCATTCCCCTTTCTTCTCTATGGTCTCATACTGCAGTTCTTTACTCTCAGGCCGGAAAACCTGGAGGAAAAACACAGGCCTGTTTATTAGTTCACCCCAGACACTCCTTGAGCATCTCATTCATTCATTCAGCAAATACTTACTAAGCATTTTCTGTGTGTTAGATGCTGTGCTAATCACTGGGAAAAAAGTGGGGAAATACTTCAGTCTAATTTCTTTCCCCTGTTTCAGTAGGGAAGGCAAAGCCAATGAGTAAAATATTTGTATAATAATTTAATGGCTGGTGGTAATGAGCACTATTAAGATAAGCAGGGTAAGTAAATCATGAGTGATCCTAGGATTTGCAGAGAATCAAGTTTCTCAGAAGAGAATCACTTTGAGCAGAAATATGATTGAGTCTATTGGAATAAGTGCAAAGCTCCCTGTGGGGGGAGGAAGGACACTCTTGACATCTGCACAGAACGTGAAAGAGGTCAGTGTGGTTTGAGCAGGGTGAACAGCAGGGAGAATGGTGGGAGATGAGATCAGAGAGACGGTGGAAGGACCATCGTTTAAAGTAATGTACAGTCTGTGATAGTGACCATAGATTTTGTTTTGAGTAAGATAGAAAGCTTTTGATGGAGTTATGTGAGCTAACTTTTACTGTGATCCTTTAACTGATTTATGGAAAGTCGGCTGTTGGGAATCAGGATTAGAAGCGAAGAGACAGTGAGATCTCTGGTCCAGTGCTACAGGAGAGAGATAGTGTTGATTTGGACTAGGGTAGCTGTGAAGGAACAAGGGAGTGGTGGGTTTGGAGGTATGTTTTATAGACCTGCTGATGGTTTGGATGTAGGATATGGGGGAAAGAGGAAACCTAATGATGATGGTCGAAACAGGTAAATGAAGACATGTTTATCGAGATGCTATGTACTTGATGTTGGTATAAATTTGTCTATCTCTTATTGCTATTATGTATCACATTGGATTATGATTACAGCTATTTTCCTGTCTCGCCTTTTGAATTTTTTGAAGGTTTATGTCTTAAGTAAAGTATTTAACACTGTGCCTAATATATAATTTTTATTAAACATCAACCATAATTTTATCATGATTTGCAGCAATGGCTTCATTGTTTCCCTGTATTATGCTTAGTAGAAAGTAGGTGTGCAATGAACTTTGGAGGAATAGGCAAACGTCTTACTTGACTCTTCAAGTGAGGAGCTTTACAGTCTATTTAGGAAGGTTAAAACATAAACTACAGACTGTGGATACTAAAGTACTTGCTAATCAGAAATGCAGATAAAGGCATGTGTCTTAAAGGCATGTGTGTGGGTGGTAGTTGTGAGGGAGATGGGGATCATGAAAGGGCCACCATCACATCATCTTGCTTCGATTCGGCAGGGTTTCAGCAGGTGAGGTGTGAGCTGAGCCTGGAGGGAAAGGTAGGATCTAACTCAGCAGTCAGCATGGATAGGACCCTCATTGTGGAAGAAAGGCAGAGAGGCTGGCAGGATGCATCAAGTAGGTCAGTGTGGCTGGAGTGGGAAGTTAGCCTTTAATGTTAATTGACAGTTAATAGCCTTAAATATTATTCAACATAGTTTAGATTTTAGGCTGTTGGCTATTTGCCTTGTTCAGAGCCACTAAAGATTTTTTTAAGCAGAGAAGCAGCACAGACAAAATGGTGTTGTAGATTGATTGCTCTGACTGTGGTAGAGAAAATTCACCATGTAAACAGCACCAATTGCTTCAGTGTTTCTGCTTCATTGGTGTCAAAGTGACCAGAAAAATCAAAAGACATTGCAGGGTGGAGTTGAAGTGCTGCTCTTAGAATGTAGTTATTATTCTTGCATTCTCTGCTAGCTATATAGTGTCATTCTGGCACTCTCTTTTTAGGTCATAGGAAACATATTCTTCAGTTTCTCCTGAAATTAGCCTTTTCTTCCTCCCTCTTTCTCTCCCTTCCTTTTTTCTTTTCCTTCTTCCTCCTCTTCCTTGCTTTCTTTTTTCTTTTTATCCACTGTTCTTCATTTTGTTCATTTTAGGGGCAAGAATTTGGTGGTTCTCATCAAATCGGAACTATAGCCAATGAAGATCTAGAAAAACAAGGGTGTCATCCTTTTTATGAATCAGTCATCTCTAATCCCTTTGTCACTGAGGTAAGGACCATGTGCCTAAGAAGATAGATTTAACTGTGCTGTCATAGACAGTATAAAGAAAAACTAAAATTTTTCTGAAAATGTATTTTTTTCCATGGTTCTTATTCATGTTATTCATTGGTTTTATGTGATTTGTTTTATATAGATTATGACATATTATGAGATTAAAATCTACTTAAAAATTGTTTCCTAAAATAATATGCTTTAGTAAGTGAGAAGTTATTATTCAAGTCACCAAAAGACATAAAATCCTATAATTGTGTTTTCTATAAATATGTTCATTGAGACAAAGACACCCTACTAACTGGTGAAACTGCTTCTTTTGTGTAGTCTGAAGCAACCTGTGACACCTATCAGCATGTTTCAGTAGAAAGCTTTGCAGAAGTATTGCTGAGAACTGGAAAACTGGCAGAGGCTAAAACTCAAGGAGAAGTATTTCCAACAACAGAAGGTAAGAAAGAAGGCTTTAGTTTTTTGACAGTGTGTAACTCATATTATGGAGTTCAGTAACTAAGAATGTATGAATGAAAGAGAGTTAGGAAAATAAAATTTTTCGTAATTTTGAATAGCTTAACTTGACATCATTCGTCCATTCATTTGGTTAAAACATTTACTGAGATCCTATTGTTTTCTAGATAATTACTTACATTGTGGATTTCAAAGGATAAATAAGATATAATTTCTTTCCTTCCTTCCTTCCTTCCTTCCTTCCTTCCTTCCTTCCTTCCTTCCTTCCTTCCTTCTTTCCTTTCTTTTCTTTCTTTCTTTCGAGATGGGGTCTCACTCTGTGGCTCGGGCTGAAGTGCAGTGGCACCATCCTGACTCACTGCAGCCTTGACCTCCTGGGCTCAGGTGATCCTTCTGCCTCAGCCTCCCAAGTAGCTTGCGGCCCCCATGCCTAGCTAATTTTTTTGTAGAGACGACATCTCGCTCTGTTGCCTAGACTGGTCTGGAACTCCTGGGTTCAAACAGTCCTCCTGCCTCAGCCTCCCAAAGTGCTGGGATTACAGTCATGAGCCACCACACCCAACTTAATCCCTGTCTTTAAATTGCTAATTATGTAAAGTGATTCTCATAGTGAATGGTATAAAGTACATAATCAATATTTTCTTCTTTTCTGATTTTATGTTTAGTAGAATATAAATGTGTATTTTATCTTTAGAATTTTCTACATGGTGGCATATTTTGACATGTAGAATTTTCTGAAAACAAATAAATGCATATAAGTTTATCAAAGACAACTTACTGTTTTTACTTTTTTCTCTTTAGCCTCCTTACTTTTTTTCAGGGTTCTATGGTAGTTTCCTTGACTATATTCTTTCAGTTCCCTCTCGCTTAGCTCTGCCATCTTTAGTAAATATCTCATGAATCAAAGGCTGCTGGAACTCCAGCTGTCTTGTCTGTGTTACAGGCATCAGTAAGGAGGAAAGGGGATGAAGGAAAAGCAGTTTTCTTAGAAGTCCTATCCACAACTGGCACTTATTTTATTAATTTGCTGGCCACTTCTAACTTCCAATAAGCCTGGAAAATACCATCTTTTAACTGAACACGTTGCTGTGTGGAGTAAAATTTGAGAAAATGTATATGGACTAGAACTGCGTTTCTCCCTCCAACATCATACTATAATTTGCTTTTAAATAATTCTTTTCACCTGGGTACAGTGGCTCAAGCCTGTACTCCCAGCACTTAGGGAGGCTGAGGCGAGAGGATTGCTTGAGCCCAGGGGTTCAAGACCAGCCTGGGCAACTTGGTGAGACCTCATCTCTACAATAAATCAAAAAATTAGCTGGATGTGGTGGCCCGTGCCTGTAGTTCCAGCTAATTGGAAGGCTGAGGTAGATCCTTCTGTGGATCTACCTGTGCCCAGCAGGTTGAGGCTGCAGTGGCTGTGAGCATGCCACTGCACTCCAGCCTGGGTGACACAATGAGACTCCAACTCAAAAAAGTAATAATAATAATAATAATAATTCTTTTCTCCCAGCCAACACTTATATTCATTTCGGAAGAGGAGAGGCATATTCACTGTGCAGGTCCCTTGCACAGGTGGTTTTTATTAAGTATACAATTTTTCTTTGCTCTGGAGATGCATGTTTTTCTACCATTCATCTTTCTCTTCTCAGGGTATACCTCACAGTTATGAATATATTTATGTATTATTTTTTTCTCCATAAAGCTATTATAAAGTTCAATGTGCATCTTACATTTAAAATAGAAGATACATGAAGAGTATAGTCACATTGCTCTTCCCCTGCTTCATTAGTCTTTATTACTTCCTGCTTTTCTTTTCTTTTTATAGTCTTAAGTCAGTTGCCCACAGATTAAATATGATTGGTTATTCAAGTAGTTTGTACAGGTAGAATCTGAGACCTTAAGAAACTACTGGGTTGGATATGGGAGTATCATGTATTGATTGGTATAATAATGAACTGAAGTAATAACTAGGATGTTTACAAACATTGGTTTATACAGTATTTTAATTATTTTGTTTGAAAAGTCCAGCCATACTTTATTTTATTGTTCTTTGCTTTATTGCGCTTTGCAGATACTGTGTTGTTGTTGTTGTTTTTTTAACAAATTGAAGGTTTATGCCAATCTGTGTCAAGCAAGTCTGTTGGAGCCATTTTTCTAACAGCATGTGCTTACTTCATGTCTTTGTGTCACATTTTGGTAATTCTCACAATTTTTCAGACGTGTTCTTATTATTGTACCTTTATGGTAATCTGTGATTGGTGATCTTTGATATTGCTGTTGTAGTTATTTTGGGGTACCACAAAATGCACTCATATAAGAAAGCAAACTTAACTGATACATTTTGTGTATGTTCTGACTGCCACTGACCAGCCATTTCCTGTCTCTCTGCCTCTCTCTGGGCCCCCCATTCCCTGAGACACAACAATATTGAAATGGAGCCAACTAATAACCTTCTGATAGCCTATAAGTGTTCACGTAAAAGGACGAGTCACCCATCTCTTACTTTAAATAAAGAGTTATAAATGATTAAGCTTAGTGATGGAGGCTTGTCTAGATCCGAGATGAACTGAAAGCTTGGCCTATTGCACCAAACAGACAAGTTGTCAATGTAAAGGAAAAGTTCTTGAAATAAATTAAAAGTACCTATTTTAGTGAACACGTAAATGATAAGGAAGCAAAACAGCCTTATTCCTGATTTGGAGAAAGTTATAGTGATCTGGATAGAAGATGAAAGCAGCCACAATGTTCTCTTAAACCAAAGACTAATCCAGAGCAAGACCTTAACTCTTTTTCAATTCTATAATGGTTGCGAGAGGTGAGGTTCATGAGGTTTAAGGAAAGAAGCCATCTTCGTAACAGAAATTGCAAAGTGAAGCAGCAAGTGCTGATGTAGAAGCTACATGAAGTTATCCAGAGGATCTAGCTGAGATCATTAACAGATTTTCAGTGTAGACGAAACAGTCTTATACTGGAAGAAGATGCCATCTGGAGCTGGGCTCGGAGGCTCAGCCTGTAATCCCGCGCTTTTGGGAGGCTGAGGTGAGTGGATTGCCTGAGCCCGCGGATTCGAGACCCGC